CTTTTTTTTTTTAAAGATTTTATTTATTTGACAGAGAGAGACACAGTGGGAGAGGGAACACAGCAGGGGGAGTGGGAGAAGGAGAAGCGGGCTTCCCGCTGAGCAGGGAGCCCGACGCGGGGCTCGATCCCAGGACCCCGGGATCATGACCTGAGCCGAAGGCAGACGCTCAACGACTGAGCCACCCAGGTGCCCCGGAGCATCCTCCCTTTTTATGACAGAAAACACACTCTACTCTCTAATTGTTTAAGCACAGGTACGGATGAATCAGAATGGGCCCCACTTACCCGGCAGGTGAACGTCAGCTCAGGTGTAAGGCCTCGGGAAGCCTCGTTAGCAGCAATGGGAGAGCCCTTTACCCTCCTTTGGCCAGTTCACATTAAGAGAATCAAAAACCACCACCTCATTCTCAAAATCCTTACGTCAGTCTACTGTAAGCTTTGGTTAGAACATTCTTATTTCAAGGTCTCAAGTAATTTGGGGGTTGGTCACGGGAACCCTCACTGCACATGCAGACTGCCATGACTGAGTGCCCTGTTCTTCCCTTTCTCTAGGTCCATCATCAGCAGGAGGTTCTTCTGCATAGTCGGCACGCTCTACCTTTACCGTTGTATCACGATGTACGTGACCACCCTCCCGGTGCCCGGCATGCATTTCAACTGCTCTCCGAAGGTAAACCTTTGCTCACTGGGATCGCCCTCTTGTCTGTCTGTCGTCTTGCCCGGGGGTCCTCTGACTCAGGCCGGAGGTGACCGTTGCCTGAGGATATCGTCAAAGCCCCGCATCCTTATCCAGGAACGTTACTAAGGAATACGGCAGGGCGCCCCCCCGCCCCCTTCTCAGAATCTCCAAGCCCGCCAGTGTTCCCCAGCTCGGAGCATACATGTCTAGTTAGTGTGCTGGAAGCGGTGAGGCTGTGTGTGTGGGTGTAGCTCTCTGGTTTCCTGCCAGAAGTTTAAAATACCATTCACTCCCTTGACACAGATCCAAGAGCTTTCAGATGCTTTTTCCCTCTCTTGGATGGAAAGTGTGGCTTCCAGTGGTATGTTTCCCTTCTTTCTGTTACTCCCTGCAATGGTGATCTGTAAGGGCAAGAGACACCGTCCCTGTCCCCTTGCACCGTCTGCCCACCCAAGCAGGGTCACTCTTCCCTGGAGGCACATTTTGCCCTGTTGATCTTCCCTAGTAGCACAGAGACCTTTCTTTACAATAAACTCTATTCCTCTCCCATTGGCTCTGTTTTTCCATCAGGTTCACAAAATACTCCTGACCCCCTAACCTTTACCTTACGACGCTTCCACCTAGGGAGACCAATGGGACTTCTGAAATAATTAGCAGAAGATTCAGTTTTTACAATGTTTGCCGGCCACAAAGCTCTAATGCAATAAGAATTAGAAGAGGCTGGCTTCTTTGACTAGGTTGGGAGGATACAGGGGATGCCATGGTGCCCTTGCAATCATTTTTTTGCGTCGCACTTGCATCGGTAAAACACTCATGTGCTTTCGATTCCATCCCCTTTCACTTTTGTTCTTTCCAGAAGAGTCTTCTCTGCTAGAACTGGGAAAGAGAGCGGAAAAAGTCACCAGGGTTTCAAAGTGGTGTCTTCATCATTTGAAATTCTGGACGCCGCTAGGTTACTTGCTTCACCGCGTCCCCTTCCTTCTTAGACTGAGGTGTGCACTCAGGAAGGTAGCTGGTTCCCTGCTTCTCTCTGTTTTGGCTTCAGACTCTTCACTGAACTCTGGAGAAGCCGCCATAAAGAATGAGTGGTCCCGTCGTCCCTGTCAGCAGCCTCCTACCCCACCCTGCACCTTCCATCTTGTTCCGTCCTCCTCCAGAGAAGCCAGCCTCACAGCTTCTCCAGCCTCTGTGAAAGCTCTCGAGCACTGCCTGTGGTTCCTGGGTTAGAGGAAATCTCTTATTATCAGTGAGGGTCCAGTGATGTGGACTCTTGGCGGGAGCCTGGCTTGATCAGCAGTGTGTTCTCAGTAGTAGGCAGACAGTTTAGGATATTTGCCCAAGTTTAGTGGAGCTTCTTAAAGTCTGTGCATGGGGAAATTTATCCACCAGGGAACACGGCATGCCGGGCCAAGCCCACAGTCATGGATGCAATGTGGAGGGGTTGTGCCGTGTAGATGTTCTCCCTGCTCTGGTCCCACCCCCAGGACTTCTCTCTGCCACTCCATCCAATTGCTGGCAAGCTCGAGCTTGGTTAGCATTGGCGCTCAGAGAGTCTGCCTGAGTCATCAGCAAATTCAGCCAAGGTCCCGTGGCTATAAATAGTTGTGGTTTTTCTTGGTAAAGACAGAGGTCACAGCAGGATCTGTGCAAAAAAAAAAAAAAAAAAACCCCAGCCCAAATGTGCCACTCGTATATGGTTTTGCCAGAAATCCTGACTGGGGCCATCCTTCCATGACGGTCATTTGGAAATTGGGATTTTTTTTAAGTAAAGGAACACAGGAGGGGATGAAACGTAAGCACAGCTTAGCAAAAATAATTAGTTAAGGACTCGTTAAGTCTAATTACTTCTTTTGTAAAACAGGCTCTTGGAGGAAAGGATTCAGAAAACAATTTGCATTCTGAAAATTTTCATACGTTATCTCCCAGAGTAGAGAAGCTCATAATGGAACCTCCGTATACCCAACACTCAGATCCCATAATTATCAAGACTTGGCTGCATTTGCTTCATCACATTTTTTTTTTTTGAAGTATTTAAAACAAATGTCAGACCATGTCATTTGATGGCTATAGGCTTTAGTATGCATCTGAAAATTTTGGACATTTTATGGATAACTTTAATGCTGTTGGTATAGTGAACATGATCAATGGTAATTTTTTGGTATTGGCAGTTACCAATTCATGGAATATCTCCATTGTCTTAAAAATGCCGTTTTTAAAAAATGGTTTGTATAAATTAGGAGCCAACATCTTTACATTTAGTTGCTGTGTCTCTTAAGTCTCTAATTCTAGGCAGTCCTTTCTCCCTTTTTTACCCCCCTGCCATCTGTAACTCGTAGAGATCAGATGGGTTATTCTGTGGAATAGCCCACGTTCTGGATTTATCCGTTTGATTCGTTGTCATGTCGATTAGCCTTTTTCTCTGCTCCATTTCTTTCTCTAAATAGAAAGTGGGCTCTGGAGACTTCATTTAGTTTGGGCAGGAAGACTCCACAGGTAGGATGATTTCTGAAGCTGGACGGAAGAGTCCAGGGAGGCCATGGAGGCTGGTGCTGCCCCTGGCCTGGTGGCCCAAGCCCAAGGAATCCAATGGCCGGTCCAGGCTAGCTCGCCACCCTGGGAGCCGTGTCAGTGGGAGAAGGGGCGCCGGAGAGGGGTCCCAGAGGCCAGCATGGCTGCTTACAGTCCAGCCCGGGGCTCATCGGTCAGGACTGAAAGGATTCTCACTAAGAGTCATCCGGTCTAGTGGCTCCATTTGGGGTCTCCCCAGAGCAGCCTCCCCTGAACCATTGCACAGCGAGGGGGCTTCTCAGCCCTTAGAAATACAGGCCAAATCGTAGGAAGAACGGAGGTCGGAGGCAGCATGGGCTTGCACCCCCGCAGCCCCGCCCTGCGGCACTTGTGTTTACTTCTCAGGGCCTCTGGGCCTTGATGGGCAGCACGGCGCAGAGGACCCTTTCTGGGTCTGTCCTAAGGGGCTCTGAGAGTGAGTGGCAGTGACACGTCAGGGGCTCTGTGGGTACAAAATTCCACATGGAGGCAAGAAGAGAAGCTGGTGTCGTGACCATGCTCTATCTCCTACGTCTGACCTGTCCAGTGACCGTTCATTTCCCAGGCCTGTGTGAGACACTTTCTATGTACTGTACACTGTGAACTTGGTTCTGCCATCCTGTTAGGCCCCATTGTTGGCCGGCTTAATTCTTCCTGTCAGGCGAGTACTCACTCCCTGTGGCTTCTAAGAAAAGCGGTCCAGCAGGTCTGCAGTAATTATGAAATTGTTCCATTGTTCATTCATTTGATGGCGGCGTGCGCTTCACCCGACAAGATATCATGGTTGTGGGAAATGAGGAGGAAGGAGAGTGGGCCTCCCAGCAGGTGCCCCTGCCACAGAGAGGAGCCACGGGGAAGCTGGTGTGTTCAGTTCCCAGCGGAGTTTCTGGGCTGCGCTTGTCCTATAGCCCTGGTGGACGCGGGACGGGCTTCCAGCCGAGGCTGCCGAGTGTCTGATGCTGGGAGTAGCCTGTTCAGCTCAGCAAAGCGTCTCTGCAAGGAGCATGTGGGCAAACCAGAACACCCGCTCTTGTCATCTTGATCCCACTGTTCAGGATTCAGTTTAAAAAAAAACCAAAAACTGTGCAGAAATATTTGAGAATTCTTTAGTGTTCTTAGCTTCCTGTAAGAAAGTTTTTTCTAACTGTTGTAGCAAACTCCAAAAGGAGGGAAAAAAAGAAACAACCTACCCTGGGCCCCCGATCCAGACAGCCGAAGGCCGAAGGAGGAAGTAACTTGCTGTTTTCGACTCTCATCTTAGTAGTTGCGGGAGTTAATCCAAGATTTGCACACCTTGGAAAAGAGGGGGCTTAATTGGAGCAGGGACGCTGCACTCTGTGACACAGTGTTTTCAGTGGTGTGGTCCTTCTGCGTGGGGAAGAGCCCCCTGGTGGACAAGGGCTGTGTTTGCGTGGCTTGGGGGGTAAGGGCTCGGTGGGACAGAAAGTACAGAGTCAGGACAGAGGGCCTTCGTAGCCGCTCCTGCTGTCAGTCATGCTGAGTCACAGGCACGACAGAGGTCAGAGCCCCTCCTGCACCCCGCAGCTGAGTGGTGCTGGCCCCATCTCCAGGCTCCCAAGGCGAAGGGCCCGCGCTCTTGGGGACCCCACGACCTTTCAGGTGTGTTCTCACGCTCTCGGGGGGCAGCGTGGGTGTGGCAGGCCACCCTCCACGCTGACCACTCTTGGTGGTGTGATTAGCTCCCGCCAACCTTACCAGCATCTCTGGTACCAAAACAGCTTCACGTCGTTCCATTCGAGTGTGTGGAATCCAAATTGTCCATGCCTGATTTTACCTCGCCTCCCGCCCCCAGTTTCTTACCATCAGTGTAACCTGCCTTTTTGTTTGTTCTCACTTTTAACTGTTTCTTGCAAATAACTTCCAGAGCCTTCCCCATCCCGAAGCTCTTCTTCACCTTCCTCTGTCTCTCTCCACGATTCTCTTCCTTTTTCAGGGACAAAAAAAGAAAAAATAGAAGTGTGCTAAATTATTTTTTTTCTCTCTTAAAAAGATTATTTTTTCCGTTTTAAAGAAACTATACTTTTATAGATACACTAAAAAAATACAAAAAGAGGAAAATTTTTACCATCACTCTTGGCCCTATTTACTGTTGATGTTTCTATATATTAGTCCTTTATGTATATTTGTCTTACACATCTCTAATCGTGCTTTCTGTACAGTTATTCCTATTTTCTTATAGTTTAAGCTTGATATGTGCAGTTTTACATGATTTTATAAACCTTAAGCTTTCTAAATGGTTTTTTGTTGTTGTTTTGTTTTCCTGAATCTCAGGCTCCACACCCAGCCCGGAGCCCGATACGGGGCTTGATCTCACGACCCTGAGATCATGACCTGAGCGGAGATCAAGAGTCGGATGCTTAACCAACCGAGCCACCCGGGCACCCCCTAAATGATTTTATTGAAGGGCCATCACCAGGGAGACT